TAAAATTGTATTGATATTTTTAGAAAAACAACTAAAAACAAATGGAAAATGAAAATGTCCCTAAACAGTTCAAAATAAATCAAAATATTTTGAAAATGTTATCGTGTATAGCAAATGCAAATATAAACAACCTGGGAAAATTTTATGTATATACGTTCATTTGTTTTAGAGTTACACCAAAAACCAAAATCGATTTTTTGGAAAACCGATTTTGCGTAAAAATTCTCGTTTTTCCTTAATTTTTATGTTGTTTTTCCCGGCGCTTGTGAAAACTACTGGGAAATGTTTACTTTTGACCCCCCAAAGTACCAACTAGATTCACTTTCCTATCAGAAAAGATACTGTTGAAGAAAATCCAAGCACTTTTACTGTCCTAAAACGTGATGACAGACACAAAAATAAAAAAAAAACACATACCATTGTAAAATCAATACATTCATCGTTCCACTCAGAATCTAAAATAATAATATTATAATATTAATTCAACTTATATGATATAATAACCAATAACAATATAAAATATCCAGAGTCCAGACTGACAAACCTTCTCTGCTCAAAATCGTTTTTGTTATACAATGATAATATTATATTATATCGTTGAATTCAAGTTGAATACAATCCATTATCATACAATGGACCCACTTGTAACCTACTGTACAGCAGAGCGACATTCACTTACCAGCTTCTTTTAATATTATTTAATAATAACAATACAAATATTATTATTATTATCATTATTAAGTTACAGTAATAGAATAAAGGAACAATAATATCGCAAAAATATTGATTATAATATTATCATTTTGGTTTTTTTTTCGTGGTTTTTTATTCTGTACCTTAAATCTGTTATCAGTCGGTTTAGCATTAACCAACACTTATCGAAAATTGTAAGAACGGCCCTAAGTTATATTACTAGTATAAAGTAAAGGCTTATAACCTCAAGTTTTTTCATATTAGTCTAGAGAAGTCGTAGAACAATGTGAGTGATGTATATGTTTATGTATATGTTTCATTATACTAGCGAATTACAATGAACATTTTATTTTGCATATTAATTTTGTCGTAATTTCATAATATAATAATATAATAATAATAATAATAATAATAATAAATACAATATTGCAGCTCCCTCTAAAAGCAAAGCTTGTGCTGGTGGAGTAATTCTTAAAAATATAATATTATACATGGTATTAATAAAATAAATATTACCTATGTATAGTCAAAATATAGGAATATAATGGAATTTTCCAGTTTAATGTATCATATTAATTAACAGAAATAAATTAATGTAAATTTAATACATGTTATAGAAAAGAATTAATTGAAAAATTTTAGAAAATATTATAAAAATGACATAAAATAAATTAACTTTAACCACAACCTAAATTTAAATATTTAATAATATTAATTATGTTTCTTAAAAACAATTAAATTACTAAAATTATACATATTTTAATATTAAATGTCAAACATAATTTCAGACCTATATAAAATACTCAATTTTGTTCATAAACTCTTACACAATTTGGTAAACGTATATTAATATATTGTTTAAATCTAGTCTTGTTCATGATCAAAAATAGGAACTAAGTGTTTATATTTATATAGTTGGATTAAAACAGAGAAATTATGAATACATTTCATATTTTTCACATTTAGTTGTTATTGCTGTGCTAGTTAAAATAGGTAGATTTAATAAAAATTGTATGATACAATTTATATTAATATTAAATTTATTTAAATGATTATTAAAAGTTCCTTAGCAAAGAGATATACCATATGAATAAAAGAATGAATTAAGTTAATATATAATTCTTTTATAGGAATTATTAAATAGCTCCTTTGAAAATATAGAAATATTTGAGTAATTTATTGTTAATTGAAATATAGATAAAAATGCATATTTGAACATATTAGAAAAAATAAGAACATATTTTGCCAGTTTTCGATTTAATAAAGTTAGTTTAAACAAATAAGAAAATATTTTGAAAAATGTTAAGTTTAAAATGTTGGTCATTGACAAAGTAAAAGCATATTGTGTATACATTTGGAAAATTGAATATTTAAAAATAGTACTACACTGATCGCAGCATATCGGTCCATTATCTGGCCGATAACACTGCAACATATGTACCTAGCAGGCAATGTTAATTGCTAATTGGTAATTTTTCAATTTTTCATAAAGTAAATAATCAAACTATCTTTTTATATTTTTGTTTTCATATTAATTGTATAATTTAAGTACCAAAAGTCATATTATACATTTTATTAGAGCATATTTTAAGTGCATATTTCTTGTCTCTTTAGTGCATAAGTGAATACATACTTTCAGGTTTATAAGTAGATAATTATAGTATTAATATTATTCTGTATAATTATTAACTAGTAATAACTAATACATTAATAGATAATGTTTACAGTGTTGATATTATTATTTAAATATGTACATCATTGGCCTAATTTATAAGTATTCACTCCAGTCTCCAAAAATGCAATTTTATGTTTATTACTATCATGAGTATCAAAGATGAATAAATGTCTATCTTGCTGTCTAGGAGCTATATTATAATAGAATTACTAAGAAAAAAATATTGCTTAAAATTTAAATGATATTTAATTTATAAAAATAGTATCAATTAGTTTCATATTAGGTTAATATCCTATACTAATATAGTTATCACCACTTTTTATTCATTGTTTTGTTATTTCATTTTTTTAAATATTGGTTAAAAAATATGTGAATTAAATATTTAAATACGTTAACATGTGTTTACCATTAAATCACCAGACATGTTATAATATTTGTAATGTTCAAATTGTTAAAGTAGTAGGAAGCTAACAATTAAAAAAAAAAATTATTTAATGAATAATTTGCAGTAAAAGAACCCTCCTCGGTTCTTATTTGAATAATGAAAATTTGTGTCATATTGGATACTACTTGAGAAGTACAAAAAAACTTGAATAAAAGATTTTTTATGGTCTTTACTCTTTAAGTATATTAAAATAAACAAAATATTGGAATTTTAATAAATTCATTATTAAATATAAAAAGGTGTGCAAGTGGGTACTGGTCTGCTCTACGGTAAGTGCTGAGTGGGTCACTGTAATGAATGTGTATAATATGAATTTAAATCATATAAAACCATTGTTTACGAAAAACAATTTTGAGCGAAGACGGTCTGTAAGTCTACTAATCAGAATATTTTATGATATTATTGCCATGAAAGTAATTTATATTACAATTTACTATACCTAAGAAAGACTGTAAGTTGAACAAAATTTTTGCAAAAACATTGCTTCAAAAATGTCATTATGGGAATGAAATATACAGGTTTTTTTTTTAAAACATGCTAACCCCCATTATTATCCTTAATATTCCATTTATTTAAATTCTGATTTTAGAATTTTTAAGTATACCTAAATACCATATTTTCAAATTCCTGATATTTTTGTACTACTTAAGGAATGTCCAGTGTCAATACGAGCATCAATCAAAGATAACGGCGTACAACTTGAATTTTTAGCATAAATTTGGTATGTTACGCGTTAGTAAGACAGACACAACACATGAAGATGTGTCCTCTTAAATATGAAAACCATAGGCTATATTATGTAATATTAAATGTAGTATTCATTATACTTGGATCATTTTTACAAATAATTACTATTGATAGATCATTACTAAAATATTCAAATCTACTTAACACATTACCATAGACATAATATCCTTAATACACAAAGTTATACTACTCGTTCGAACTTTGGTTTAGATACATTAAAATTCTCAAAAACATATCAGCTGAATAATAAAAAGTAAAAACAGGGAGAGAGGGATTATTTGAAAACAGAAGTTTGTACTATCACATAATCATCCTTAAGTGGTACAAAAAATATTAAGTCGGTAAACAAAAATATAATCTCATTGTGTAATTAAATATTCCAAAAATCAGAATTTGAATATACGTGTAATTTAAGCATACAAATAGGATAAGCGTCCTTAAAAAATCAACTTGTATATTTACTTCAAAAGTCTCAATAACCCATACGAAAAATATTTTTTAATTAAAATAAAACAACTATGGCCAGTATTATCTATTTAAATATCCACTTTCATCCAAATTTGATAATTTGGTTTAAAATATTTATTGAATAAAACTGTATTTAAGTATAAATTTCTGAATTGTTTGAATACGGTGCGAACTACCTACTTATGGGAAATCTTGTTTTACATTTTTAATCATTAGCTATAGAAATTAAATATTTTGTATATTTTAGATTCTGAGCAGAGCGAGAAAGCTAGTGGTTTTACAATGGTGTTTATTTATTTATTTTTTTTTTTTATATCCTGTATACAAAATTTCTACCAAGAGTGCTTCAATTTCAACATATAGCACCTTATCTTTTAGCAAATTGGATCAAGATGGTACTTTAGAGAGGTCATTTTCGATTTTCTCAATAGTTATATAATACCACGAGAAAAACCACTGAAAAATTACGAAAACCGCTAAAAATAGGAATTTAACTTATAACGCTTTGTTTATCACCATAGAAACGAATAAAAATAATAATATTATTATATTAATTCAACTTACATGATATAATTAATAATTAATAATAATATAAAATATCCAGACAGACAAACCGTCTCCGCTCAGAATCGTTTTTCCTATACAATGATATTATATAATTGAATTCAAGTTTAATACCATCTATTATACAATGACCCACTTGTAGCCTACTGTACAGAAGAGTGACATCCACTAACCCGCTTTTTTTTAACAACAAAATTATCTTAAAATATATGTGATATTGATGAATATAATACAAAAAGCCTTTTAACAAAGCAATCAAAAACTGTACAATTAATATAAAATCAACAAAAAAATTACCATACAATTTCAGACTTAAATAAATAGGAAAACAATAAAGATACTGTTATACAATATAAGAAAATGGGTTTTCATAAAAAAAAATTGTAAATACTAATAAGTTTTAAAATTTCATGGCCTATCTTTTGTTACAACTCCTGCTGCAGTCCGTGCATTATTCCAAGATGTTGTGACCATGGTCCAGGTTTTAGTCTTGGGGTTGTAAAATTCTACAGAATCAAAAGTAGAAGTTCCGTCATCTCCACCAACGACATACAATAATCCATCTAATACAGCAACTCCTATAGGTATTGAAAAATTATAATTAAATTAAATAGTTAGATATATTTAAAAAAGAATTGTTTCATAAAATTATTCAGAATTCTTTAAAGAGTAATTACCTGGGAATTGTCGACATAAATGCATATCTGGAATAGAAGTCCAAATTCCTGTACTTAGACTGTAGGTTTTGAGTGTTTTGACACATTTGTGAACTTTGAATCCATCAGGACAACACCAAATACCCAGAGCACTGCGACGTACACGCATTTTCACAAGACTGGGATGATAACATTCAACAGAGTTTAATCTCCGCTTTGATAAACCATCAACACCTCCTACCTACACGATAGTGAACTGAATTAATACAACTTGCGGAAAAAATCACTTCAATTTCAATTGATTTTTCAATGAAAGCGATTGCATACATATTTATGAAACGTTTAATAAATACATTGTGTTTTTAATTACAAACATAATATATTGTTTACTAATAGTAAATTAAGAAAATTTAAAATTGTATATGTTTAACAATTATTAGAAATTAAAAATCATACTTAATCAAGTATGCATAAACAATATTTAATGGAAATTAAAAAATTAAGATAAAAATTTGTTGAATATAATTTGACACTGAAAAAATTCAATTTACTTTTATACATTTTGTTTTATCATTTTCAAACAATTCCTATATTAATAATATTGATTAGTAATAACAATAAGATAATTTGTTTTTATATGTATAAACTGTATAAAAAATATAATAGACTTTTAATACTTTTTTTTAAATGGCCAATGATAAAAATCAGTTTCTCATGATTTTTATTGATACATGATACATATGTATTTAAACAAATATTTGAGTAAGAACATTATTTAAATGATAATTTAAAAATGTAATTTACTGAAATATTTTATTTTGGGTATATATTCCATGATTTTATTTATTCAGATTTCAATTATGATAAATAGTAGGTATTACAAATTTTAAATCATAAAAGAAAATATTAGCTTACCACAAACAAAAGATTACACAGTACTCCGATCCCAGCACTACTTCTTCTAGTAGTCGTACTCGATACCATACGCTATTATTGAGTTCTGCAGTCAAAAACTTCCGCACTATTTAAATAACTAATACCATCAGAACCGCCAACCTTGAATTTATTATATCAATTTTATATATCTACTTTATAACAGAAAATACTAAGAAATTAATGAGTAATATTTCAATATAACTTACGGCATATAGATAGTTATTTATCACGCCAACTCCTAAATGTCGTAGTTTAACTAACATGTCAGCAGATGGTTTCCAATAAGGCGATTCTGAAGATAAATCTAGCAGATAAACAGTTTAATGAGCTGGTCCAAGATTCATACCTCCCATATAAATCACAAAATTATCTTTTACTACAGCTAGACCACCACTAAAACGTGATGCAATCATTTGTGGCCCAGGCTGCCATTGGTTGATTTTTGGGTCATACCATTCTGTACTATCAAGATTTCGACCATGCCTTAATCCAGCAACCGCTAAAATAACCTGTTTTAATTTAAATGTTAAATATATTGGAAGGATAAATGAATTATAACGGATTCATACTTTTTGAGAGCCACCAGGTTGTCTAGGTTTAGTCCGGATGTCATGTGGAACGGTGACAAGCTCATCTGACTTGAGTAAATGAAAATGTAGAGCTTCAATTACGTAATCTTTAGCTTAAAAAAATAAAAATATATAAAATATAAATTAATTACACACTAAAACGTTTATTTATAGATAAAACTTACATTTAAGACAATTATTAACAAGAGGTTCCTCAACTAATTTTTTTGAATATGTAGTCTTTGGATGTTAACCACTTTATGACGACATATAATTTTACCATCATCGATTTCTAGTTTAAAATCACAAAACATCTCATCTCAAAAAATATAAAGGTTTACTAATAAGTAATATTTATCTAGTAGTTTAAAACACTATTAGTACTTACTTGCGTAATGATTGTAGTACTAGAAATATCTCCACATAAGACGATTTTTTTCGTATTTAGCTGATTCACATCGCCTGGGTTCCAGAATTTGCTTTGTATTTTGCATTGTCAATTGTATATAAGTTAGGTCTGGTACTTGGTATACTTGAGACTAAAAAATGAGCATGAAATCAATTTCAATGTCAGTTTTAAGAATCGATAAAATGTATTAATATTCTTCTATGAAATTATAACTAATATCAATATCAGGTTTTCTTATAATAATATTCAAAATTTATATTTAATTTAAAAAAAAAATTAATTCAAATTCACAATTCAACAAAACCCATTAAGTTATTATTATTATTCATTAGGACATTAGGTTATTTCATTTGTTTTTTTAGTTTTACAGACACATTTAATGACGCGTTACTGGACATGCAAATTAAGATCTTGCCATTTGCTCATATGTTGAAGTTAAAATAGTAATAATGTAAATTGGATATTTAAGTTAAAAAAAAAACACATTTTTATAACCATACTACCTAAATGTCCTCAAAAATATAAAACATGTTAGCTAAGAATAATGAATAAAACGGGTAGGCTAGTGGGAAGTGGGAACCACTCTGCTGTACTGTATGTGTTGTGTGGGTTACTGTAATGGATGTGTTAAGTTTAAATTAAATGATATGATTTTATCCGTGGTCGCTGATTAACAATAGTCAGCTTACCTGTACTTGATTGGACTGTATATTATAAAGGTTTGGATGAAATGCCTAACGCTACCTAACTATCCTATACCTTAGTGATTTTACATGGGGATCACAGCAAAAAACTGATGAGCAGCGTAATGCTTAGTTTGAACATGTGTACATGTGTATATGTATGATAATAATTGTAGGAATGATTGATTGTGCTAATTATTGTGTGAGAGTGAAAAAATAAATAAATTAATAAATAATAATATAAGTTGTTGTATCATGCATAATATTATGTTAAGAGGACGTCATACCTGCACCTGCATATGTTGTCTCAGTCTTGTACACGTAAAGCATAACAAAAACTGTTTTGACGCGGGAAAGAACCGAGAAGTATAAAAAGAAATGTGGAGCTATGCAATTATACGGAATATCGTGAAGGTTTAATTTGAATAACAAACTTTTGAATTTCGTACTACACACGGTTTTAGGGACCGTTTACTATACAGAGTGTAGCACAGCTTAAGAGTGTCGAGTGAAGCAGATCTTGACCACCGCCACTGATGATAACAGTTAAAATCTTAATAATATTATGGTTGAAAATTAGAATCCGTCCGTCTATCTCGAATGAAATCTTTGAATTCTTAAATCGTCAAGCAAGCACACTGTGTATATACACTGTTGGCAAATCACTATTATTTTGTATGATAATACAGTTTTTCTCATGATAATATTTTGTTTATCAGCAGCTATGCTCATTGCTCGAACACACGAGTGCACACAGACGCAATACACGATGTTTCCGACTTTCGTCGTTGTCACCTGTTGCTGTGTCAATGCGATGTGTTGGTTGTATTAAGTCTATGATTTCGTTAAATTATTTTTTCGTTGTAAGAGACAAGTTTATAATGTTATTATCGTAACTTAAGCTTAAATCGTGACATACATTTTTGTTTACCCGTACGCAGGCTCGAATCGCGGCATTAAATATTTAGAAATGATTGTACCTATTCGGGTTCGAATAGCTTTTACTATAATATAGTGCTACTATTATTCGTGCAACAGCTATTATCGGCTAAAATGTTAGTAAGTTATTTGTATTTGTAGTATTTGTAACTGCTCTAATTGTGGAGGTTTGATCTATTATTTATGAGTGTATTATTCAATGTGTTATAGGTTAGAGAGTAGAGACAGCTGGCCAGTCTGCTCACCTACAATAATCCGTGAGTTATTATTTATTATTATTGTTTTACCACCGTATCAAGCGGTCACTGCTGAAGAACCTACGTGTGCCGTCACTTATATAATATTATCGTTTAACATAATTTCTATTTTGCTACCTACATACTCTACTAAAATGTACTGACTAAGACTTAATTACTAAATTTGGTTACACATTACATAAATGTTTATATATGTATGATTGTATTGAGAGGACCTCGCACAACCTAGCAAAAACTGTTTTGCGAGGGAAAGAACCGAGAGAACTTGTGTTGTTCAAACTTTAATAACATTTTTTGAAATTTCGATATCAAAAAAATTTAACGATATGGCCCAGTCAAAGTCCTCCTTTTTATGTGGTGAAAATGTTGGTCCTTAGTTATGACTGTAGCCTTCTCGGTTCTTTCCCGCGTCAAAACAGTTTTTGTTATGCTTTACGTGTACAAGACTGAGACAACATATGCAGGTGCAGGTATGACGTCCTCTTAACATAATATTATGCATGATACTTATATTATTATTTATCAATTTATTTATTTTTTCACTCTCACACAATAATTAGCACAATCAATCATTCCTACAATTATTATCATACATATACACATAGTACACATGTTCAAACTAAGCATTACGCTGCTCATCAGTTTTTTGCGGTGATCCCCATGTAAAATCACTAAGGTATAGGATAGTTAGGTAGCGTTAGGCATTTCATCCAAACCTTTATAATATACAGTCCAATCAAGTAAAAAAATAAAAATATATAAAATATAAATTAATTACACACTAAAACGTTTATTTATAGATAAAACTTACATTTAAGACAATTATTAACAAGAGGTTCCTCAACTAATTTTTTTGAATATTATGTAGTCTTTGGATGTTAACCACTTTATGACGACATATAATTTTACCATCATCGATTTCTAGTTTAAAATCACAAAACATCTCATCTCAAAAAATATAAAGGTTTACTAATAAGTAATATTTATCTAGTAGTTTAAAACACTATTAGTACTTACTTGCGTAATGATTGTAGTACTAGAAATATCTCCACATAAGACGATTTTTTTCGTATTTAGCTGATTCACATCGCCTGGGTTTCAGAATTTGCTTTGTATTTTGCATTGTCAATTGTATATAAGTTAGGTCTGGTACTTGGTATACTTGAGACTAAAAAATGAGCATGAAATCAATTTCAATGTCAGTTTTAAGAATCGATAAAATGTATTAATATTCTTCTATGAAATTAAAACTAAAATTAGTTTATATTTTTGTGTTTACCCGTTCACCCCTTTTATAGATAATGATGTTAGCTTATCAGTGATAACAAAATGTATATACAAAATTTATATATGTTTTAAAGGAGGATTTTAATGATAATGATGATGTTTCACAAGTTCAAAGCCTACCTGCCCTACCTCAAGCTCAAGAGCATCCACAAGCTCCATGTAATGATATATTATCAATAACCAAAACACAATGGCCAATTAGAGACAATAGGAAAACTAATTTATCTAGTCAACCTACCATTGTTCAAAGCATAAAAAATATTGAAGAATTTAAAGGTAATTTAATTAACCTATTAATGTTCTTACCTTATGTCTAACTTAGATTTATTGTTGTTATTTTATAAACTTAAATCTTTCTTCTTTTTTTTTATTCATTTATATAAGTTAATTAATTTTGTGTTTCAGAAGAAGGCATAAGACACTAAAATGTAACAGATACTATCCTGTACATGATTGCCAAAGATAACATGCCTCTGAACGCAATTGAAAAACCTGGGTTACTTAAACTTTTAAAAGTAACAGTGCCTCATTACAAACCACCAAAACGGAAACATTTAACCAAATTGATGGATCAAAAATTTGAAGCCATGGTCGTAATAGTTAAAATACAGTTAAATAAAATAAAATGTATGTCATTAACTACAGACATTTGGACAGATTCACATACCACAACATCATATTTAGGAATAACTGCACATTACATAGGTTTGAACTTTTTCTTAGCATTTTAAAGTTTGTTTATTCAATAAATCATATTTATATTTTTGTTTTAGATCAATCCAGACTTCATTCAATTACTCTTGGGCTGGCAGCATTAGACAAATCACACACAGCATCTTATATCTCTGAGAAGTTTGAAGACACATTGAACTTCTGGGAAATATCAAAGGATACTATCATTGCAGTTATTACAGACCATGCCAATAATATGATAAGAGCTGTGAAAGATAGCTTTGGGCATGATAAAGCCTTACAATGTTATGCCCATTGCTTAAATTTATTGGTCGAACAAGCGCTCGAAGATTCACCAAATATATCTGTCATAATAAATAAAATAAAAAAAATTGTAACCTACAGCAAACAAAGTGTTAAGGATGTAATGATGTAATCAAAGACATCCAAAAAAGTAATGGAAAAACTGAAAGTACAATATTAAAACTTATACAGTCCTGTCCCACAAGATGGAATTCAATTTTTTTCATGTTGGAAAGATTTCTTGTGCTATCAGAAACAATATCAAGAGCATTATTACGACTAGAAAAGAGACCAGAATTATCAGTCATATCTGAAGCTATAACTTTACTTCGTCCATTCGAACTAGCAACAAAAGAATTTTCATATGAAAGTCATGTAACCGCAAGCAAAATTGTTGAAATATACAATTAATATGTAGTACATGTAGTCAGCCTTGACACGTGTGTACAATATAGTAACTAGTTATGTACGAGCATAAGACTCACTCTCTTTACGGATGTAACATGACCTCGGTCGTGCATATATATAGGGCCTTTGATGTATGTAATATTCACTTGCACAGGCGTCGTTGTACAGAGCGTATACGATGTGTGTGTACTGTCACAGTTTAATTGTCCAGTTGTACGTTATTGTATATTATACTTATACATAATCATATTGTCATGTTATTACTTATTATATTGATGCTAACATCATTAGTCCGTCAAGCTTCACTTTCAACAAAAATAATACCATTACGAACCATGCTCAGTAAAAAAATGTACGATATTAAATGTTCTACAGACGAAGGTAAGCAGTTACAGGAGAGATTAAAAATTGAATTTGCCAAACGTTTTTATAATGTTGAAAAAAAATAAGATACTGGCCACATGTACCATTATGGATCAACGATTTAAACGCATGCATTTTAGTGGTCCACTAAATGCAGCAAATGCTGTAAGTGAAGTTCAAGACCAGATTAAAAAAATAGCAAATGAACCTGTCTCAGAAGATCCAGTTATCAATGTAACCACTCTGCAAAATACACATAGCTTATGGGGAGAGCATGATATGGAAGTAAGCGCTCAAGCATCAACATCAAGTTCAAACTCTGATGAAAATGTGTTGACTTGACTGAAACTGTATTTGATTACAAATGTAGAAAATCTTTCTTCTTCACCGATTGAGTATTAGGAAAGTTCTTCATTTCCGGGTCTATCGCAAGTGGCTATGAAATATTGTTGTGTTCTTGCATCATCTGTACCGTCTGAGCGGTTATTTTCGAAAGTAGGAAATATACTTACTGATTGTCGTTCAAGACTACTTTCTAAAAGGCTATTCCAACTGACTTTTTTATCATCTATCCCTGACGAATATTGGAATAAAATAAATTAAATTATATTACTACTAATAATTATATTAAAATCCTACCTGTAAATAATAGGTCCTACTAGAAAGGTTAATGTACAAGAGATTATTTTTATTTTATTTATTAAATTTTTTTATTGTTATTAAATATTAATATAATTTTGATTATATTTTTATTATATTAGTTTTTTATTGTATTAGATAATATACATATCATGTATAAATATATTGTGATATAGTGACATAGTGTTATCTTATGTTAAAATTGTGTTTTGTTCATTTTTAATAATTTATAATCAGTTAATTATGAGTTTATAATATAAAGGTATATAGGTAAATTGCATTTAATGTGCTTCATAATTGTTATTATTTGGTGTAACTTTTTGTACTTAAATAAATACACTAAAAAATAAGGACCTACATTTAAACAATTTTTTTATTTATTTATTAATATTATACATTATTATTTATATGCATTTTGGACACTAAAAAAAAGGTGCTCTGCTGTATAGTATGTCAAAAGTGTGTCACTGTATAATGGATGGTATTAAATTTGAATACAATGATATAATATCATTGTATAAGAAAAACGATTCTGAGCGAAAACGGTTAGTTAGAATAAGATATTACAAAGTATATTTGATGATACTTATACTTATACTTATACTTATACTTATACTATATGTGAATAAAGTAATTTATATATAAATAATTTACGTAGAATCTTGTTTTAAATTTTCAATCATTAGCTATAAGAGTTGAACATTTTAAAAATTTTTAATACCTAACAAAATTATTATTAAATTTATGAAATTTAAAATTGAATAATTATTTTGTAGTTAAAAATGTATAAAATGTTCAACTTTTATATCTAAGTATTGAAAATTTAAAACAAGATTCCACGTAAATAGTTAATTCTGTTACCAAAAAATCTAAAAAATACATGAGCACAGTTTACTTTTATTGTCATTTTGAGTTCAAATTTGGACAAAATTATATAATAAAAAACCTATTTATTATAGGTACCTATTATAAGTCAATTTTTTTTTTAATACCATATATCAGTATATAATATGTGTTAAAATAGACTGCTTAAGCATTACCTACATCGGCAGAATTTATCTCTAACTGTTTCGACAGTCGTTGTGTTTGGTAACTGGTAAGTGGGTATGAGACCAATAGGAGCCAAGTCAGACGATCGTCGGTCTACGACTATTTAGCAAAATATAGCGTTGGCGTACGATCGTCGGTTAAAAAAATAAAATAAATATTGATCGTCTTTTTTTATTGGCAGTGTATTATATTATTTTTCTGTTAATGATGCAGTCACGAGGTCTATAAATTATCGTTTAGATTTTAAGAGAAACAAAATCAAGTATTATTTATTAGGTACGCACGCAAAGAGTGGATGCAATATTTTTAAATACTATTACATACATAATAATGAATATAATTAATATAATATTGTACAATGAGGTTAGCTGCAGTGACTAATGCCACGCATAACTTTTACATAGTATTATTAAACAACTGATAACTCCCTAGTATAGATAATATAGATAAAACGTAATTATATATCTAATGTATAATGTGTCAAGTGAACGATGGCTCACTGTAATGCAGTTCGGTATGTATTATTGTATTAAAATATCATTGAAATACGTATAAAACCACTTGCTGATCCCTTGCACTTCGTTTCCAGTTAAATGTACCAACTCTTTATGACTCAAACTTTGTTCAATTCGTTATTTAATATTTGGTGTATGGTGTTCAAAATAAATTTATCTTAACTTTTCTGTTGCCTGGAATAAAAATTCTGATTCTCAGCAGTATATTATCAGGTAGAACAATTCTGATTGAAGACTGTCTGTCACTATCTGACACCTATAATATTACCAAGTATATTTTATGTAGGTAATTATTGTTACTAAAGTAATTTGTTTTACTACTAAACATTAGTACTCACTACTAAAGCAGGTTCGATTAATGTTTGCGAAAAAATATTTTTACCTCATCTATCTACGGTTGTTCGTTTTTGAGTTACAAAAAAATAAGAAAATTATATTCGACAAGAATTTGTTAATTTACTCAGAAAATCTATTTCAATAAAATTTCAAACAATATTTGACTTTCATGTGTCGATATACGCATACTGGCATACGCTTACACCCAATTATTCTTATTATGCCAACGTATATTTATTTTATACCTACGTATTACGAGATGGAGAATTCAAAATAATGTCTAATAGTAAAAAATAACGATGGCTCTAAGATTTAGCTATTTTAACATTTTTACCAATTTTTATTTTTTTTTTTTTACTATTAGACATTAGTAAATGATTTGTGTTAGGTACTAATATTGTATACCTACTTGTTAAATCTAGTTCTTTCTAAAGAATTTTAAAAATGTATCTCAAATATCTATTGTTCTGTATTTGACATTAGTAATTAGTAGATTTTATGAAATATGAATATTTAATTATTTAACCTTTATTTCTTTTAAAGTCAAAACATTTATGTTTAGACTTAACTTTTGTATTAATATTAGTATATTATCAATATCAAATTACCTATCTGCCTTAAACTATTTATATATTTTAGATTTTGTGGCCTCCAATAACATAGAAAACGATATTATAATATATTTTCAATTCAGATAAAAATACTTCCATACATTTTTAATTATTATTTACAAGTAGAAGGCTTTTTAAGGGGAGGCGCAGTCTCAAAGTCTCCCCTGACAAGCCGCCCCTGAGTAATATAGATATAAGTAGTTATAAATAGGTAGAGTATATTTGTTAAATTTTGTTGACAATTATGTCTATGTACATAAAAACGAAAGTATAAAAACGTCGCCAATATGCAATGAAAACAGTTCAAAATTTAGCAGTATCTTCAATATTAATATTATGTAATTTATTTCCCTATAAAATCAATAAACTAAACTACTAAGCGGTTCGCAATGGACACATAGACTTTGCATTTGTATAAGTTTTAATTTCCTTTTTGCCTTCGTTCTTGGTTTGGTCACCAATTTTGACATCCAGTGAATATTTTTCGTATTGCTTAAGTTGTGACACCTAGTATGCATTAGATTAAATAATTCAAAATTAGCGCTCTTTGTTATATTATTTTGCGATACCACGGCAGAAATTCGCCACTAGGGTCATGCTCATTAGCAGTCACTTTTCGTTCCCCCGACTCAAGAGAAGTAATCGTGATCGTGAACCACGGCTATAGAGACAAGAGTAGTCTATACCAGTGGCGGATCGAGGGCTTAATTTGGGGGGGGGGGGTAGATGTCCCCTTTGCCCTCCCCTTGGATCCGCCACTGGTCTATACAATGTACCCCAGGGCCAGGGACGCTCATAATATGATATTATATACTATATTATACTATTATAGTCATATCAATGAAACTGTACAAAAAACTATTATTTTCAGTCCGTGGTGAAATTAAATCTAACCAGGAAAGTATTGTATTGTATTGTAAGTATTGTCACTTGTCAGTATCGTTACGGAGCGGGCATACCAGGATCGCATATGGGCTAGTCGCTACTTTTCCTCCGTTTAGTCGGCGGCGGCGACGTCGGTGTCAGTGGTTGTGACGCCGACGGCGGTAGTACTGCTCGTACAACAGCCATCACGAACACGGCATAGGCCCCTGTTACATGTATTCAGGTATTTTCATCGTTCTCATTGTTCTGTTACAAATCACAAATTCTATTTTAAATTCTACGTTTCCAAAACGTCACATAAACTGAGTATAAATACAAACCGTTCACGACGTTCTCAGTAATTTTATTATTAAAATAAGGATCGAATAAGGTTCAATAAATTAAAAAAGTGGACTAGTGTCGTCTGTTAAATTTGAATATTTTATTATTCGTTTACATTATTTGTTAACTCGTTATACACGAAAAACGATTCTGAGCGAAGACGGTAACTGTTCGAACGCGGAACGGGTTTGCCGCCAAAACAAAGGCAAAAGCACGGACACTCCAAGTCTCGAAGCTCCGAGCGACGCTTTCCCCCTCCGTAGTCCCGCGCCGCCGTCGACGGCCGTCGTGAACATTTTTAAAAACTGTCTTTTTTTCCAACGGCTGAACGTAGCGCAACGTTCGCGCTATCGTTCCCGTGTGTGTCATAAAACCTCGTGTGAACACGAGGTGTCCGTGAGCTCTGTGATCAGCGGCCACGATCGGTACCTAGTACCTATACTAGTGAAGTACGTTTTGTTTTGTTGCGTGGTAATCGCGGTCGCGATACGCACCCTTTTGTACATCGCGTAAAATAATAAAGTTCGAGTGTGAACACGCTTGTCTGTCCGACGTTCGACACCACGCGACAATTTCGAGTTCCGCTCTCATTCACGACTTACGCAGTGCGCGTGTTTTTACGTAGAGCCCGTGAGTGGAGGTGGGTACTTCGTTACCATACGTTTTTGGCATTCACGCTACCCGCGTTAAAGTACGAGCAACATCCACCGTCGTGTGAGCGACGATCTGAAGAATTGTCCGCCGTCGCCGTTCCGGCGAGGGACCTCCATTGGTCGGCACCAGGGATCATCGTCGCCACGAAGTCGTCGAGCCAGCAAGCAGCCGTATTCAGGTCGACCCTTTTTATTTTGCCCCACGTGTCAGTGGGTGGTTTAAAAATATAATATTGTTCACCAGCTGTCTTGTATTTGTACTTAATTTTAAGTTGATTATTTTGGGCGCCCGTTACATATTTATAATTATTATATTTTGTTACACACATTAAACGTGTTTCCGACCTCACATTTGAGTTGTACGCATATATTGAGTAACCCGTCCCCGCTCCAGCCTTCAACACTTTACGCAAGTCGTTGCCGACAACCGCACAATTCGTAGGATCGGTAACGGCGCAACAGTAACAGTATTACAGTAACTTAATTTTATGATATTATATTTATATTGTAATTAAAGTAGGTACTAGGTAATTTATTTTAGTATTAGTTGAATTAGTTGTTGCCAAAAACATTGTAAGTGTTTGAAAATGTCA